GGGCCGCTCCTGCCCAGCCCAGCCAGGCCGGCGGCTCTGAGCAATTTGGGAGACGCGACGCGCGCAGAAAGGCTCTCTTCCCCCCCCAAAAAAAACTTCCCTTTTGCGTTTGTGTCTGTTTAGGGTGGGGTGGCATCTCTGGGGAGGCGAGGGCCAGAGTAGGGGGACCTGCATGCAAAGGGGAGGGGAGGGGAGGGACCAGGCATCCACCTAAACACTGGATCGCTGCTGCCACCTGCGCCCCCCCCCCATCCCGAGAGGAACCTGCACTTTCGGGCAGGGTCCAAGAACACAGCCAGGGAGGACAGAGCAGGCCGGCTTGGAGGGGGATGTTTTGTTGCTGCTTCCTCCAAACAGCCTCCGGGGGGGCCCTTCAGAGGCAGGTCTGGCTGTGGACCGCCCCCCCCCCGCCCTCTGGCGGTCCTTGCCCCCAGACCTGGATGGAGCGGCCCCGTCCCCGCCCCGCCTCGGCTGCCCCTGTCCTCTTGCACCTCAGGCTGCTCTCCTTTCCCAGACTTTTTTTTGGGGGGGGGAGCAAAGATGGAGGACACAGCCTCCCCCTGCCCAGGTTGTGCTAACTCAAGAGGCACAGGAGCCCCCCTCCCCGGGCGCACACAGGGATTCCCCCTGAATGTCCACAGCCAAAGGATGCGGGAGGCAAGGAAGTGTGCTTTTGTGGGGGGGGGCAGGTGAGATTTTGCAGCTGGCCTGATCCTGCTGCTGCTGCTGGGAGCTGCCCCAGTCGCTTGGCTTCAGGCTCACAGGTGCCAGCCAAGCCCTGTCCCTCCAGGCCAGGCCGCCTTGATCCCTGGAACTCGCTTTCCCCCCCCCTTCCCGGGCACTTGGCCAGAAGTGAGAGCTGATCCCAGGGAAGGCTTTATGAGGGGAGGGGGAGCCTTTCATGTGACCACAGCTTGGTTGCAGGCCAACTGCTTGGAGGAGGGTGGGGCTGCACAGTGTCCCCCAGGCAAGCAGATGGGGGGGGAGAAAGAACCCCCTGATCCCCAGCTCTTCAGCTAAAGCATTCTGGACCCACTTTTCCGCAATAAGAGGTACAAAGCCTCCTTCCCAGAAAGGCCAGGGCTGTTGGGGAGCCTCGCTCCGGAGGGAGGGGTTTCCAGGTGCAAACGGAGGGGTGCCTATGAAGCCTTAAGGAGCAAGCGGGCAATGGACCCCATCGCCAGCATCCTACATGGGCTTGGTCATGTCCATGCACCCCATGAGGTGCCTTTTGTGGACAAATAATGCCCACATGTGACTATGCAACCTTGCCCCCCCCCCCGGAAACCCTGGCAGGCCCTCTCCTAGGAAGGGGAAGGGTGAGGCCACCATAGCACCGGGGGGGGGGGCAAAAACACCAGGCTGGCCAACAGGAGAAATCAAGAGAGTTGAGGAGATTGGAAGGTTTTGGAGTTTGTGGGGGAGAGTGGTGGCTGAGAGGGATAAAAGTGAATTGTTTAGGGGTTAACAACGTGGCTTCTTCAGGCATTGTTGGTGTTGTTGATGAAATCAACTGGTGGCAGCTGAGGGGCACGTGGCGTATCTAGTTTGGTGAAACAAGCAGGGGCCACGTGGGAATATTCATGGCAAATTCTCCTCATTTTGTGAGGTCCTCCTCCTCCTCCTCCCCCCTTCATGGATTGCTGCCTTGTTGTGGCGAAGGGGCTTGAGTAACTCAGAGAAGCTATGGGCTATGCCGTGCAGGGACACCCAAGACGGACAGGACATCGTGCAGAGTTCCGACTCAACGTGATCCACCTGGAGTAGGAACCGGCAATGCCACTCCAGTATCTTTGCCAAGAACGCCCCATGATCAGAAACAAAAGGCTAAAAGATATGACGCTGGAAGATGGGCCCCTCAGGTCGGAAGGCGTCCAACATGCTACTGAGGAAGAGTGGAGGACAAGTACAAGTAGCTCCAGAGCTAATGAAGTGGTTGGGCCAAAGCCGAAAGGACGCTCAGCTGTGGACGTGCCTGGAAGTGAAAGGAAAATCCAATGCTGCAAAGAAAAATACTGCATAGGAACCTGGAATGTAAGATCTATGAACATTGGGAAGCTGGAGGTGGTCAAACAGGAGATGGCAAGAATAAACATCGACATCCTGGGCATCAGTGAACTAAAATGGACAGGAATGGGCGAATTCAGCTCAGATGATTATCATATCTACTATTGTGGACAAGAATCCCGTAGAAGGAATGGAGTAGCCCTCATAGTCAACAAAAGAGTGGGAAAAGCTGTAATGGGATACAATCTCAAAAATGATAGAATGATGTCAATACGAATCCAAGGCAGACCATTCAACATCACAATAATCCAAGTTTATGCACCAACCAGCATTGCTGAGGAGACTGAAATTGAACAATTCTATGAAGATTTACAACACCTTCTAGAACTGACACCAAAGAAAGATGTTCTTCTCATTCTAGGGGACTGGAATGCTAAAGTAGGGAGCCAAGAGATAAAAGGAACAACAGGGAAGTTTGGCCTTGGAGTTCAGAACGAAGCAGGACAAAGGCTAATAGAGTTTTGTCAAGAGAATAAGCTGGTCATCACAAACACTCTTTTCCAACAACACAAGAGGCGACTCTACACATGGAAATCACCAGATGGGCAATATCGAAATCAGATTGATTATATTCTCTGCAGCCAAAGATGGAGAAGCTCTATACAGTCAGCAAAAACAAGACCTGGAGCTGACTGCGGCTCTGATCATCAGCTTCTCATAGCAAAATTCAAGCTTAGACTGAAGAGAGTAGGAAAAACCACTGGGCCACTCAGGTATAATCTAAACCAAATCCCTTATGAATACACAGTGGAAGTAAAGAACAGATTTAAGGAACTAGATTTGGTGGACAGAGTGCCTGAAGAACTTTGGATAGAGGCTCGTAACATTGTCCAAGAGGCAGCAACGAAAACCATCCCAAAGAAAAGGAAATGCAAGAAAGCAAAGTGGCTGTCCAACGAGGCCTTAGAAATAGCAGAGAGGAGAAGGGAAGCAAAATGCAAGGGAGATAGGGAAAGTTACAGAAAATTGAATGCAGACTTCCAAAGAATAGCAAGGAGAGACAAGAGGGCCTTCTTAAATGAACAATGCAAAGAAATAGAGGAAGATAACAGAAAAGGAAAGACCAGAGAGCTCTTCAGGAAAATTGGAGAAATAGAAGGGGAAGATATGGAGGCAGTGACAGATATTACTTTCTTGGGCTCCATGATCACTGCAGATGGAGACAGCAGCCACGAAATTAAAAGACGCCTGCTTCTTGGGAGGAAAGCAATGACAAACCTTGACAGCATCTTAAAAAGCAGAGACATCACCTTGCCAACAAAAGTCCGAATAGTCAAAGCTATGGTTTTTCCTGTCATGATGTATGGAAGTGAGAGCTGGACCATAAAGAAAGCAGACCACCGAAGAATTGATGCCTTTGAATTGTGGTGCTGGAGGAGGCTCTTGAGAGTCCCCTGGACTGCAAGGAGAACAAACCTATCAATTCTAAAGGAAATCAACCCTGAGTGCTCACTGGAAGGACAGATCCTGAAGCTGAGGCTCCAGTACTTTGGCCATCTCATGAGAAGAGAAGACTCCTTGGAAAAGACCTTGATGTTGGGAAAGTGTGATGGCAAGAGAAGAAGGGGACGACCGAGGATGAGATGGCTGGACAGTGTCTGTGAAGCAACCAACATGAATTTGACCCAACTCCGGGAGGCAGTAGAAGATAGGAAGGCCTGGCGTGCTCTGGTCACGAAGAGTCGGACACGACTAAACGACAATGACAACGACCTCCTCCTCATGGGCTGCCTCCCTTTCTTGGCAGGTCTTTGGCGTATGTGCGTGCGTGTCCCTTTCACCATGTACAGCCACAGGTGGCCGTAGCAGTCTGGTGCAGAAGTGCCCAAAAGTTGCTCGCTATTTGACAGAGCCACATCAGAGACCTACCACCCAACCCAATGAAGATGGGTTGGCATGGAGGGAGGCTGCTTTGGTGCCATCTTGGCCATCCCTGGGAGTCCCGTTGGGGTCGGCCAGGGTTCATTAACTGGGTTCGTGCTTTGCACCTTCCTGGCCAGTTTGGCCTGGGCCCAGATTTTGGGGGGGGGGAGGCAAGAGAGCCATTTTCTGAGGTCCCAGCTTGGCATCACTGGGCAAGGTCAGGTTAGGTCTGGAACTTGTTTCTTGGAGCGCCTCTGATGGGGGGTGGGAGAGAGAGACCCGGCTCGGCTCCCCAGAGATTTCTAAATGGCCCCTGGCGGCCTTGACCCTGTGACCCTTGGGGGGGGGAGAGTCTTCTTCATCCTATTTTTTCTTTTCACCCAATATCACCACAAAATGTCATGCAGGAAAGAGCATGGCTGTGGCCCGCATCTTGGTCCGAAGGGGCTCAGCACCCTCTCTTAGGGAGCGCTGGACTGGGTGGACAGAAGTGGGGGGCAGGGGGCTGGCGGCACCGTGGGGTTGCCCACTGCTGTTCACGGGGCTGCGTGGGCTCCGTCAGCACCCCCAGAACAGCCACTTTGGGGGACTGGAATCCTGCCCACTGGGCCTGCCTCCCCCCCTTGCCGCTGCCAGAGCCTTTCATCCCAGAGAGAGAGAG